ATAGAATAGAATAGAATAGAATAGAATAGAATAGAATAGAATAGAATAGAATAGAATAGAAATTGGAACAGAAATTGGAATATAGAACAACAGAACAGAACAAAAATACAGAATAGAATTCATACTTGGGCAAATGTGATTGGACACACAAGGAATTTGTCTTGGTGCAAATGCTCTCACTGTGCATAAAAGAGACATTCGTCAAGAATCATCAGGCACAACACTTAATGATAGTCATGGGGTACAATAAGCCATCAAATCATGCTAGGAAACAGTCCATATAAATCGTAAGGATATAAGCGTCGAAGTTACAGTCCTACAGTCACAAGTGGGAGGGGCGGGGTGATAAGGAGGGATGAGGTGGTTATGGAGGAGAATCCCCCTTTGCGCCCTCTTCACCACTGGTTGGCAAGGCCCCAGATGCCTGATGGTAACCAGGGGGCATGGTTGGCCTTCCTCTCCATGGCAGCTCATGTCACTTTTCGGTGCCATGGTAACTTCAACTGTAAGTCAAGGACTACCTGTGGTGCATAACAGAGGTGGGATTCAACCGGTTCTGACTAGTTCTGGAGAACCGGTAGCTGAAATTTTGAGTAGTTTGGAGAACCGACCAATCCCACCTCTTCTCTGCCTCCCATCGGGTCCCAGCTGATCGGCAGCACCTGGCAAGGGAGGGTTGTGCTTGGAGGGCCCCGGGAAGGCTTTAAGCGAAATCCTGTAGCGGAGGGAGGGGGGGAGGGAGGGGGCGCCCAGAGACAGACATGCAGGTGCAGGGGGAGAACCGTCCGGGTGCAGGTCCCAGGGGTGCCCAACTCTACCCAAGTGCGCAGGACGGGAAACAAAAGAGGAAGGTCAGCGCTGAGAGGCAAACAGAATTTAGGTTTCCTGAAGGACAAGGGTTAGAGGCCGGAACTGGCTCAGAAATGAGGCAACGTAAGCGGTGAGAGTCTAGCCTTGCTCCCTGTTTATACCCCATGCCTTGCCCTGCCAGTGTGGGTGGGGTGTGGTCTTCTCCTTGGCAGTTCCTTGACTAGAACATGGTCTTCTGCTTGATTGTTTGTCTGGAGTTAATCCTGGCTTATCTGGTTGTTGGTTGGAGATGTATTTTTTTCCCCTTATAGCTTTTTTACTGACTCTTGAATGGGGTGTAAATATGGGTTTGTGTATTAATGGCGGATGTGTCTGAGTTCTGAGCCTCCAGAAATTCCGAATCATTTCTGTCCACGTGTTATAAGATGAAGGAGTTTAATCATCCTTAATCTCACACCAGACAGAGCCAACCAGAGTTTCAGCTCGGAAACGGAGCATCCTAGGTGATGCTAAATCCAGACACGCTAAGAAGACATTCTTGTTTCTTGCCAGAAAACCAGCACATCTTCTCCACACTCACTAGCATTGATGATGTTCCCTAGTTGGGTAATGAAATGTCTGTAGGAACCAAGTTGAGAGGGCCTCAGTCCTCCTCCTCCTCCTCCTCCTGCAGGAGTTTGGGGATCCAGGAGCAGTTTTTCCTTCCAGCTGGGCAGAGAAGAGTTTGAGCCTTTGGCAGTGCCAGGGGTCGGGGGGGCCTCCTCTCATCTCTTGAAATGATATTTTGAAATAATAAAGTGGTGGTTTTGGTAGATGTGGACCTCCAGGGCTCCCTCCTCCCCGGGAAAATCACTCGTCTATATCGGGAAGGTGATACCTCGCCAAGAAAGTTAGAAGAGTTTTCTGGGTCTCCTGCAAAATTGGAATCCACTTCCTTATGTCCCTGCTTGTTTTTGTAATCCTGCTTTCCTTCTTCCTTGGCTTGGTCCTTCTGCCTTAATTCCAGGCTGCTTCTCTGTCCGCCAGTGTAGGTGGAAGCGGAAGAGGGGGCTTCCTGCCTCGGCCCCACCAGCCGGAGGATGGAAAGGCTCCTTCCTGGGTCCCGTTTCCACCTGCAGTGACGGACAGAGAGAGCCTTCCGTCGGAGCAGCCTGGAATTAAGCTGCCCGGAAATTGGGCCTCTTCCCCTCAGCCAGCCCCCCAGCCCAAGTCCTGCCAAACAGCCGCTTCTGCAGCACACAGCTGTATTTTATTTATTTACTTATTTGTCAGGCATGTATTAGATAGCAGGTATAAGTATAAACGTGAGTAGGAATACATGAAATGGGTGGGCAAAGTAACCAGGGTGGAGAAGGAAGGTAGAGACGGGGTTGATGAAGCATCGACCTGAAACAAAATGGGGAGAAAGGTGCCGCTTCCAAGGGGGGGGAGCCTAGAAGCGAAGACATGGCCAGCCCATCCACTCTTCTCAGGGAGCCTTTGGGGCTCCAGAACTTGAGAAGTGCTTAACGTGGTTCCTCTGGGGTCTCCACCCAGCCCCCTGGGCCTGAGACAAAACATTCTGGGCATGTGCATTCAATAGCCACCCACCCACCCACACACACACACAGAGCCCAGTCATCCATGTGACCCCCAAGAAGCCCTTCAGGCCACCTTCTGTCTCCAGTGACCGGCCTCCTCGGTGTCCGCAGCTCTGGGTTGCACGAGGCCCTGAAGCAGCAGCTTCAGAAAATGGGCTCTCTTCCTCCCCCAACAGCAGGCAGAGCTGTTCTTGCGTGACCACCGGAGCCCACAAGAGCCCACAAGAGCCCACTCCATTCCCATGCAGCAGCTCCCGAGCCTCATGGGTCCAAGAGTACCGCTGGCTGTCGGGGAACGCAGGCGTGTCACTCTGGAGAGGCTGCCCTAGGCTCCCCCTCCCTCTCCCGGGGGAATTCCTCCTTGGGTCACCAGAGCACCGGGGGAGGGGCGCCTGGTGGGAGGACTGGCCCAGAGGCTGCAAGGGCTCGTAGGGGGAAGACGCGGCTGGCTCAGGGGAGCCACCAGTTGCTCTGAGGAGCTGAAACAGACCTGGGAGTTGACAAAACTTTTCCCTTCACACCCTCTGGGTTACCACGGGACCCTCCAGGAGGGGGACAATTCTGCTCGTGGGGGCTGGCAGGTCCCTCTTCTCCCCCCTGGAGGCATCAAGGCTGCATCCGCTGATCTGGGAGGGGAGGGTCCCCTTCCCAGCGGCCCGGACTCTTCCTCCAATTGGATGCCTGACTGGCCTCCCGGCAGCTCCGAGATGCCGCAAAGAGTCCGGTTCCGAAGGCGGCTTTCCAGGACAGAGGCTTGTCTTGCTTAGTAATTTTGAACTAGCCTGAACCGCCCAGAGTTGCCCTCTAAGAAACAAACCTTTTAAATAAGTAATGAAAGAATGAAATGAAATCAACCTTTGCACCCACCGCAAGGAGGACGGGGCCATTCTTCATTTCCAGGGAAGGCTCCGGTGGTTGCAGCTGCTGCCATTAAAGCATCATATTTGTCAGTATCCATTTTTATTTAAGGCTATGTTTTGCAGCAAAATTGCCCCACCCATCATGCATTTGAGATGGGTGGAGAAGAAAGAGGAAAGAGAGAGAAAGAACGAGGAAGAAGAAGGAAAGAAAGAAAGAAAAAGCAATGAGGAAGGAAAGAAGAAATAAAGAGGAAGGAAGAGGAAGAAGGAAGGGAGGAGTGGGAGGGAGAGTGGACAGATAACAAAACTCTGATCAAGTCCGGTTGACTTACCACCTTCCAGTTAAAAAAAAAAAACACGTAATTTCCAAGATCTGCACCAGAGTGGAAGAGAGCCAGAGCTGGCTTTAATGAGATGGCTGGTGCAGTGAACCTGCTGCTCCCGCCCCCCACTTTCTAGTTTGGACCCTGTTGTCACTGCAAAAACCAATTGCCACATAGAGGGGGGCGGGGGGCGGGGAAAACAACACTG